CCACAGCCATGGGACGTGCACAGGGGCCCAGCAGCCCTGCCCTGGCTGCGGCGGGGAGCGAAGGAAGAGAGGACAGAGCTGTGGACAGTGTCTGGCTGGTGTCAGAGCCTTGTGTGCCACCCCCACAGCCCGGGAATGGCTCGCAGCAGATAACCTTGGCCCGGGAGGTGGATGGGCCGGGTCACAGCCAGGACCTCTTCCGACAACTTGTCCACGAGACTGTGCCCGGGAGCAGCTCCTTCAGGGACACAGGCCCTGGTACGCCTGCTCCTTTCAGTTTTTACAAAGTTGCCGAAGGTGTGTGCGTCTCCAGGGACAGGAAGCTCCCCGACATGCACGGCCACGCCGTCATCTCTTCTCCGTGTCCCCGTCCCAGGACCCTGGGTGCACACAAACGCGCCAAGCTTTTCAAGCCACCCAGGGCAAGATTCAAACTGCTTGTCATCAGCCACGTGGACCTGTCCCCTAAGGCGGGCCACAGGGCCGGCTGTGCTGCTCTCCCTGAGGACGCCCGCCTCGCGCACCTGCTGCCCGCTACACTGCACCGTGAAAGCTCCGCTTTGGCACCGCACGCCGCGCCATAACCCACCACCACCCAACTCTCATTACCACCACAGCCACCGTGGGGCGCTGCCGGGACATGGGACAGAAGGTCGGGCGATGCCCCCGAAACGCTGCCTCTGCTCCCCAGGAGGGGTGCACCACGTCGGAGGGGTACGCCATCGGCGGGGCGACTCGCGAAGCACCCGCGGTGGTTAGACTGAGTATGGAGGTGCCAATGCTCACTGCTTGGTGGGAAGAAGAGCAGGGTGGATTCCAGAATACGCCTGTGTCTGCAGAAACCAGGGGGCAGCTCTTCAGCTGGGGCTGGGGCCGCAGGCGGACGAGGGAAGAAGCAGCTTTCGTTTCCAAAGCTTGTTCTGTCGCAGTGTCCCGTGACCCCTGGGCTTGGCAGCACGGCCAGAGAAGAGAAGCTGCCCAGCTCCCTCAGACCGCCTGGGTGCCGAGTCTCTTACCCACGCTGCGGTCTCCTGGCGGAATGGGTCCTGCAGTTAGGGGAAGAGGCTTCATCCCTGCCCTAGATGTAACCCTTTGATTTTTCAGCTGCAAGTGAGCTATTGAGACTTGCTCAACTGGCAAATGACTGAATGATTCAGAAACCTCGTCACTGTCCGGCCTCCAGGTCCCGCAGCAGTGATGGGACGGCCGTTCCTGATGGACTCCCGGGGCCTCCCTCCACTGCCGTCTCACCCCCAGCCACACGGTTTCATTCTGACCCTGTCCTTTTCTTTTTTCCTTCTTTTTAGTGACTTCACTAAGAAATCCCTACTGGTGGATCTTCTCTTGCTGGCTGCTCACGCTGGGGCGTACACTCACGAGCCGACGCCTCTCCCTGTACACGCCGACTCCCCAGCACTGTGAACGCTGCTCAGCAGGCAGTGGTCGGGGAAGTCAGGGCCTCCTTTTCTGTTTCCTGTGTGAGGATGGGTCCCAGGCCCCGACGCCTGGGGTCTGCTGACTGGACTGCACCCCGCTGAGCGTGCCTGTGTGCCACGACGTGTAACTCTGGATCTCACTCCTCATCCCAACCTCCCGCGCTACGTACTAGTATCACACCCCATTTACAGATGGCCAAGTTGAGGCTTAGGATGGCTCAGAAGTCTGTCCCAGGCCACTCAGATAAGCAGCAGAGGTGGCCTTGACCCTTGGGGACCCTGCGGCGTAGTGCAGACAGCCTTCACAAACGTCCTGGACACTGCTTTGCGACAAGAACATCCCCCCTCCTCCCCCCCCCCCCCCCCCCCCCCCACCGCCCGCCGGCCC